TATTTATTATTTTAATTATTTGTAAAAATAAGAAAGTCAATTTTGAATTTTCTTATACTTGTTTGATTTCAGGGGGGGCAAATGCCCCTCCTTGCCCCCCCCCATGCGGACGCCCATGCACGGAGGGGTCGAGGGGATGCTGTTGCCAGTGCCAGTCGTTGCCACGTTCAAGTCGAAGGTAGGGCGACTGCGGCGGAGCCGGAGCACCGTAACGATCGATTCGGCGGCAGAAACGGGAAGAACAGGAGCAGGATAACACTGTCATCATGGGCAAGCAAAACGGCGAGGATTTGGATCAGGATGCGCAAGAGCGGATGCTGAAGGAGGACAGCGCTGCAAAGATCGCGATCGAGAAAGATGAGAAGGATGAGAAGGCCACCGAGGTGAGGATCTCCTTCGTGGACTGTCCCTCACTTCTGCGGTTTTGATTCTCGCGAGATGCCCCGGCAAATTGGAGCTTTATCCGACGAGGATGAGCCTCGCGTTTATTTCTCCGCGAGCACTTAAGAAATTCTTTTGAAAATACGAAGCGAATTGAACGCTTCGATTTTTAGACCGACCCGTCTCGAAATCAGTTAACCTCAATCTCAATTCTGGCTGCAGCCTTGCGCTGCAGAGACATCGTTATTCTCGAACGTTCTCGTAACAAGAGCGGTTATCTCTTTGTTAGCTAGGTATTGTGCGCGTTCGCTGTCGCGACGGACACGCTTTTGTCTCGCCATTGTAACAACACATGCGATCGATCGAGCCTAAAAGAACGGAAAACAATGGCGAAATTTTTCGCAACGTGTGCCCTCGCGAATTGCGCGAAGGCAAATGGGATTATTTTTATGCAATTGAATAAATCTACTTTTCTTAATCTGAATCTATCGGGTCGTGAGAACGACCCGCGTCGCGAACCATAGAAGAATGGATCGATTAAGTTCGGAAGATACGCAAGTCCCATGAAAGTTGCGTCACATATGTGATTACAAAGGCTGGCCGCTCGGCGAGCACGTTATCAGCGCTTTACGTCATTCTATCCTTGTTTCACGTTTAATGAACGGTAAAGATAAAATGACACAACAACCGCTGATAGCGCGTTTCGCGAAACGCTGCCTTTTTATCTTATATAAGATATGTCTGATAAATATATAACGTAGAATTGTTAACTTCCAGAATTTACATGTTTAAACTTCATTGACTTTAATAAGCAGATAATAATTTCCTGAATTAATTTGATTTTTTTCACAGCCTTGTGATAATACATTTTCTTCGTTTGCTACGAGAAAAAATAATAAACTTGTAAAAGATACGAGTCTTGAGAAACACGTACTCGGCAATGACATTTATTACTTATATGTATAGTATATCATATATTTTTATTTGTTACATTTACTTAATACTTTGAGGATTAGCTCTTTATCACCTTGAGGTTCAATTGCTGTGTCAGTCTGATATATTTGTAATTATATACAAAGATAAATAGAAAGTAGCCAAATGTGGTTCGAGGCTGGGTTTTCATGTCTAATAATATTTCGATATAAATTTTAAATACATTTTCAGTTCTATAAAAATCCGCGTCCCGATTACTGTCGGACTTGAATCACAATCCTAAACCGAAATAGTTACATTATAACTTAAAATTGATCGTTAATTTAGTAATGATGCTAAGGCCACTTCGATTCGGCGATTAACTCCAATGGCCCATGTAGCAAGCTAACGTAATTTTGATATTAAAATGATATTTTGACGCGAAAATGATGATAAATAATGTCAGTTTACTATCTGGGCGTTTGAGTTAATCACTCATTAAAGTCAATCAAAGTTGAAGTGGTCAAAGTCCTTATAAGCATTTTAAAACTGCACAGAATTTATCGTGAAAAATATCACTCTATCCAGGTTTGAACCTAGACTTCCTACTACTCAGGACAAACATCTTTTTCATTTCGACTATTGTGGCATGCGATAACATTTATCGCAATATAATCATATCTTCAATATTATAAACTCTCTTTTGATTTTTTTACTCGAGTTACTTCACAGTGTACGCTTTTCCGATAGGTGAAATTTATCTCGGAGAATGGCGACGCCAAAATCGATATCGAGATGGTGAAGGCGGTGCTGTCGGGAATGGGAAAGGAAGAATTGATGAAATTCGCAAATGATCCATTCTGGATTAGAATGAGATGGGCTTTATTCATCATCTTTTGGCTGATATGGGCAGCTATGTTGGCTGGTGCTATAGCTATCATCGTGATGGCGCCAAAGTGTTCTGCTCCTGAGCCAAAAAAATTGTGGGAAGAAAGTGCGATTGTTGAGCTAGATGCCTCAGACATTTTTAACGACGACTTGGCAAGACAGGAACTTACATTGAGCAGCTTAAAAGACCAACATATTAGGGCTATCTCCCTCTCATCTCTGGTGAAGGAAGGTTTTTACGGTATGTGCAGACTTAAAACAACATGCACATTTACGTTTATTTAATCCTTTATTTATTTATTCCTAAAATATATTAATTTTTTTATAACAGGAGGGGCCACAGATTTTAAATCCATGAGATCGGGAAACATCAGCGATTTGCAAAACTTCATCAAGATAGCAAAGGAAAAGGATCAACAGATCTTTTTGGAGTTGGATCCCAATCATTCCTCTATGTACCATCCGTGGTTTAAACGATCTGTAATTAGGGAGGATCCATTCACATCCTATTATGTCTGGGCTGATGGAATAATCAGCTCCGATGGAAAAGAAAGACGAAGTCCTCCGAATAATTGGGTTAGTCATGCTTCCTCTCTAACACAGTCATTCTCTAATGCAGAAAGACGATGACGCGTGTCAACTTAAAATGTACTGTTACAGTTGAGTGTATACGGTGAATCCGCGTGGGAATGGAACGAAGAAAGGGGTCAATATTATCTTCATCAATTTAATAAGTCACAACCTGATTTGAACTACAACAACCCAGCAGTGGTGAAAGAGTTTGGAGTAGGTTTCTCGCGTTCTATTTTTAATTTCGATCGATTTATCACGCCTTGATTTATATCTTACATCCTATTTAAGGGTATCTTGCTGTACTGGCTTCAATTAGGCATTAGCGGTTTTCGCTTGGCAAACACTCAATATCTAACAGAAGATCCAGAGCTTCGCGACGAGTCTAGGAGCATTCTTCCCGTAGAATGGAATAATTATCAGTCGCTGGTGCACGTTCACACGCGTGATCGTTCGGAGAACGCTGCGGTGTTGGCAAAATGGCAAGAGATAGTTCGCAACGAGACTGCCGGCAAAGGGTACGCTCGCTCTTTCATATTGTATCTTCGCCCAATTTTGCATGTCGATATCGGCTAACCTGGTATTCTTATTTACAGATTATTCGCGTTGCAAGATGATATCGGCGCAGATATTTTGCAAGTATATAATGAGAAAACAACGATCGACCTACCGCAGAGTTCGCATTTCCTCACTACTGCCAATGCGAGTATAAACGCGACGGACTTGCGTAAAAGTATATCACAATGGCTTGCGGTCACGCCATGGCCCGCATGGAATGTAAGTATAAGAAGATTAATTTTATCATATGATCTTAAAGCGGACATTTATGGTCTTTGTTGTGTAATTTCAAGTCGGATTTTTTTATAAATATGTGCATATATCAATTGCAGGTGAATGGCAAACAGCTTTCATTGAGGCAACGCATGCCTAAAGAAGTCGCCGATAGTATTGTATTAATGACCATGTTGTTACCGGGTACGCCAATTCTTCGATTCGAAGATGTCATGTCCGCGAAGGATGCATTTGCGACCTTGTCAAGTGCCCGAAACGGTTTAACATTCCTTCACGGAAACACAACTCTCAGAATAATAAACGGGACAGTCTTCGTATACGCGAGGTGAGCGAGTTAAATTTATTAAAATTTATTAAAAAATCGATGTGTTCTCGGTAAATCATCAATTTGAACAATGTACATACATATACTACTTACACTTTAACAAAAATTAAATATTTATTTGCGAGTCGCTTTCAGAAGCGTTGGACAACAGATTAGCGTAGTATATATTATGAACTATCGACTGATTAAGTGACTTTGAAAATTAATCGTTTTGATTGTTTTTCAGTCCTTTTTTATTTAAATATTTGATTTATAAGAAAGACAAATTAACAGAGTATACGTTCTGTACGCATGAATGAAGGAGATGGGTTTTAATTGGATAATTCGTCTTTATGCACACAATTGACTTCATATCGAGTTTACTCTCTCGGTCCGTATTCTCACGGTGCTTTTAGCGATACATTTTTCGCTTAATTTGCATTTCAAGTATCGGAAAGTATAACTTTGTAATAGATGGAAAAATTCCGAAGTATTTTTTACGTTGAATTAAATGTAACGTTGAATAGACCTGAAAATGCGGATTTGAAATGCTTTGCGCACATAATGAATACAAGTAGAATAACTAAAGATTAATTTTCCCTGTTCCACGCTTACTTATATGCAACACAGGAGTTGGTGAGTCCACGTACTAACGTATCGCGATTATGCTTCACTGTAAAAATTTAACTGTATGCAAGAATAATAAAACCAACTAACGATTGTACACTGCCGATTGAAAATTTAAGACTAGTCACTGGAAATGCTAATTATATGAAATAAAATCAAATTATGTATTATAATTTAACATTTGATATTTGTAATATTTTACTCAGTTTTATAATGAGTTATATTATAAAAGTTTTATAAAAATGATAGTTCACAGAAAATATTTTTTTACAAAATTTATGAGGAAAGCATTAAAGAATACCTTTTCGTCAAAGTATATATTCTTACATATCACGTTTTTTTACTAATCCAATTGTAATTTAACAATAAATTTATGTATTTATTTTTTTAATGGAAGATTTTTTTACCGATCTTCTAAAATAGTCCACAGCTCAATTTTGGAGAAAAAAAGGCTGTAATTTATTTTCTTGGAATTAAATAATGCTGTTAATCACAATGGTCTTAAATATAATGCTTATTTACTTTCAAATTAAAATAAAATATTGAATAAGGCATGAATTGAACTTTTGAATACGGTTTCACTGGAGTATTTTTAAATATTTGTATGTATAGTCTCAAACTTTTGACCAGTAGTGTACGCAACTACGTATATGACTTATTTTTTATTTGTACATACGCTTCAAAATATTTTGCTATGCTTAAATAAAGTACGAAAGTACATCAATAAATACGTAAATAAAATTTGTAGGCTAAAAAGCGGCAATCCCGGATATCTCGTAGCATATCAGACAGGGGACGAACCAGCCACTATAAATCTGTCTGGAATACCGCGGATATCGGAAGAAGTCAGTGTAGTGACGCATAGTCCTAACTACGTTCAAAATACAGAAATTATGAAGTAAGAATCTTTACGATTTTTAATGTGAAAATCTTTTTGAATTATATTCATTAATTTACTTTAATACCGAAATTTTATTTTGCAGGACAAAATTGCCATCAGACGCTGTGCCTATATCACCGAAAAGCACACTGATTTTAACATTTGTACCGAAGGAAGAGTCATAATCGACCCAAAGAATGATTCAAATGCCAGAGCAATCGGCTATATACGATTGCGTTTTTTGCTTTAATATACGGAACGATATAAGAAAATAAAGATTCGTATCAAAAAGATACTAAAAGATACTAGATTATAAAATTGAATTGCATGTAAATTTAAAATAAGTAGAAACTCAAAGTCAGGGTTGCCACAGACCTGAAAAACCGGGAAAAATCAGGGAAATTTAAAGTAGTCAGGGAAAACATGGAAAAATCAGGAAAAAATATAACAGAGCCTGGAATTTTGAACTTTGCTCCTTAAAAGGGATCCACCCTGATTCTGTAACTCTTAACAACAGTTCCGTATTATATTTTTTGTATGTATATTGCTTTTTCTGATTTGAAAATTCTTTTCCATAATTAAACAATAGAAAATAACAGAATAAAATGATTTTGTATGAAAATCGAAAAAAATATTCGAAAATTACGATTTTGTTCGAGACTCCTTTCTGTTATCGCAATCGAAAATACTCTGAATATTTAGCGATATTAAAGAAATGTCTACAGGAATCTTTCTGCTTTTACCATTAAGTTTTTTTCTGGTTCCCAAGCAACGGAAAATTCATTTATACCAAAGGAATTTTTTTTGTAATTTAATGCATAACATCAAAGCAATAATGTCAAAGATGTTAATAATTTATTGGTCTGAATTTGCATTTGGGATTATATTATGTTATTAAACTTCTAAATTTATGTTGCTTCTAATAATATGAGTTACTTTTCTTGTAATATGTATCTTCTAAATAAGCTAAACATTACAATTTAGAATTATATATTTAATACTGATCATGGAAAACTTTCCACTGTCGTCTGGAAATCATGAAAAAATCAGGGAATTTCAAAATTCATTTTCTGTGGCAACTCTGGAAGTTTTAAAAATGTGAAATTTCTTGAAAGATACGCAAAAACTTGATTTATTCGTATATTGAAGGTATAGTGTGAACAAAATGCTTTATTTGAATATATATCTGTGTGCAACTATTATATCTCAATATCTGTGTGCAGCAATGAAAGTGTCAAATCTCAATGTCCATACGTATAATAAAATATATGTAGCAAGCATAAAAAATACAAAGATTTATAACTTAAAAAGGGAGGGAAGGAGGGCATCCTATCTGAAATTACACTGTTAAAAAAGATCTTTATTAAAAGAATACAACGATGCTTTCAGACGCATGTCCGCAAATTCTTGATTTTTATTACATAATAAATACACAGCCTAAATATATCAATCTTGAATAGGAGTAGGAGATAGTATATACAAGTATGTTCTGTTTGGAAGATTTATTCGATATGAAGCTTATGTGGATCGGTGAATTTCGCCGTTATGATGTAAAACAGAGCTGGTAAGACGACTAAGAGCAACATTGCGGGATGAATGCTGATTCCGCGAAGAGTCGCGACCGCTATCACGCCGTATCCATGCAGCAGCCAGTGGCCCAAAATAACGATCACGTTCTTTATATCCGAAACGGAGCTCAGCAGTAACGACTTTACCGTTTGGTTCAGTTTAAACGCAAAATGCGCTGCATTCGAAAGCACCGATAGAATAATAGTAATATAAGGAAAAGAGTAATCTGTGTACAAAAAAAAATGTAATTAGCATGTGATTTTATGGCAGTCTGTAGAGGACGCGTTCCGTTTTATGCATCGTTCACATGTTTTATTCTTGTTTAGCATTCAGTGACCAAGGATAAAATGATATACATGAAACGGAATGCATCCAGAATATATGCGTACATATTAGACCTCCTCCTACGGCGTGGAGCAGCGCAAGAATTGGATAGAAATACAACGCTGCATAAATAGAGAACTTGCCCTGCTTTGGCAAAAATTTCCTGACTATTAGTGGCCTTATTAATAACATAAGGACTATTCCTAAGGCGTAGAAGACAAAAACCATAGTGTACCTGCAAGATCATAAAGTAATGTAAATTAAAAATATACAATGTATACCAATATAATGAAGGATATTCTAATAGATTCTAACAGAATATCTGTTGAAAATAATGATTTTTATTAAACTTCTGAAAATGTTGCATTGGTATTTGGTAATGCATTTCTGTGAAAACTAGCAAGATTATAGCAGTAAATCTGATCTTTTACTATTCGATTAGATATTAAAAGTATCGAAGATCTACTACTGCTGTAATCTTGCTAATTTTAGTCACAGAAATGCATTACAATCTAAAAGATGTATAAGAAAAATTTTTTATTCTGATATAATACTAACAACGGATAAACTGCCTCCTGTGTGCAGTGTAAGGTCGCTTCGTAATTGGGATTCGGATTATGCAGCAGCGTGTACCAGTCCGATAATTTTTTCGCCTTGCACGACTTGATACTGAACGTCCCGATGGGATGTGTCAGCTGCAGGACTATGAGGGATGCCACGACCACCTCGAACAATGCGGACAGGTGAAGGACGATCACCTCTTTGGGTATATTACGACGCATAGCCACCATGTCGATGCAGAACCAATGCAGCACCAAGGCTAGCAGAACCATGAAGCCAAGATAGAGCCAGTCGTAGAACATCGGCGCGTCCTCGCAGGGTTCGCACGCCGATGAGGCGTTGGCGCGGAAGCCGCGAGGGCAAGCACCACAATCGCTCCAATTTCCATCCGATAACCATTCCCTACCGCAGTACAGTCCGGGACACCGCGTAAGGACATTCATGGTGTCACTCTGCTTTCCTCGAAAGCTTTTCTAAAAATAAGGAACATCTTTAACTTACCGAAATTACTGATACATTTGTAACACTAAACCTCCTTTTTAAATCTTACAAGGGAATGGTTAAAACTGTTACTCACCAATTTCGATGAGTTTTGGATATGTTGCAAAGTATCAATAAATATAAACGTGTATTTTTTTATTTGCTTATATCTCAAGGTTTAGAGGTTGAATCAACCCCTCGAAAATAATGGATTTTTTTCATTTTCAGTGAATGTCTTTGAAACTATGAAATAAAAAATGTTTTATATAACAGTTTTAAGGTTTTTTTTTATTTTTTATAACATTCTCACATTTTTTAAAATTTGTTAAACTTTTTAATTTATCCCTATTCCCAATCCTATAACTTTTTGAGCTAAGCAGATAACAAAAATTGTGTCTAATATTTTTTCATGTTCTGCAACATATTCAAAGTCCATCAAAATCGATAAGAAAGTTTTGATCGTTCTCATGTTATTAATATCTCTTATTATTATTCTCTTGATATTAGTAAAAAATTTTACCTGGTTTTCTTATAAATCCTATAATTTGGAATGTTCTAAATTTTCTTTTCTCCATCTACTTTCATATATTATATGAAAGTTAAGGTTAACTTGCTTCAATTGCTCTTTTTTTTTAAAAAGAGTGCTTCCAACTGTAAGAAGTTATAGGCTATATTTTTGATTAGATGTATACTTTTTATAAGTTATGCCAAATTATACTTTCCAATCTTCACAATACAGCACAGATTTCTGTACTATACAGTATACAGTATAGAAATTTGTGCAATAAAGTTAACCAACTTCACATACAATCCAGTCTGTTAGTTCTAACTTGTTTTAACATACAAAGTGAGATAATTAGATTAAGTAGGAGTTAACAAATTAGATTGTATGTGAAGTTAGTTAACTTTATTGTAAAAACTGAAAATATAATTTGTTCTAGATTTGTCAAGAGGAAATTTTGAAAGTGACTGCTGCAAATTTTATCGATAGAATGATAACAGGAATACTTTGTTAACAGAATATAATAGCAAATTGACTGCAAAAACTAAGCCAGAAACTAAGCTAGAACCTGCAATTTCGTAACCGAATGAAATATCGTATGTTCCATTTAAAACGAAATGACGAATTCTGTTTGATCTCTGCCGACAATCTGCTGTAACACTGCCAGCAAAAACACGAATTAAAACACGAATACAGATGATACTGGATCTGTTGCAATATCTAAGCAAATCTGCTGCCAATTTGTTGTCATACTGGAACAATTTGCTTATTCTTACTAGGAGGTTCACGTGTTACATATTTGATAGACTTTTTCTTCTTTCTTCCAATATATATTCGGTCTTTAGAAAACAAAATATTAGCCTTTACCTTTTCCACCTTCCTCTGGTTTCAAATTTTACATCTATTTTTCCTCTGTTAATCGATATCTTGTCATTTAGGAGACAATATTTCGCTTTGTCATCCAACTCGTCAGGGATCTCTTCTCGCTGCTGAGATGACAAAGATGTATTTTTAATTAACTTTTTTTATATAACAAACAAGGTATCTCTTCTCTTTAAGGCTTCAAACCACTTCAAACGACATAAATACGAGCTGTCAACAGCGTCAACAACTACTATCCATTTAATCCATTGTCAACTTTTGCGAAAAAAACGACATCTGGAACAAGCTATGATTATTGCTAACTCGCAGGAAACTCGCGCTTCCTCCGTCGGTAAAGTCGCTCGTGCGATATTTATGGAATTACGACGAGATCGACGATGAATGACGTAAAGGAGTTATTTATAAATTAATGTGCATTTGTTTAGACGGCACCTTTGAGGCCTCAAACGCTATATCGTAACGTTATAATTATCGCTAAAATCGTTACACTAATTAAGGAGTCGGATAATAATTATAATAGAGGTAAAAACTCTTGTATGACATTTGACATTTTATTACGTGTATATATTTTGATATGCATTGTCGAGGCATTAATTTATTACGATGACATTGAAAAGATTTGTAGTCCCAAGAAACGTACATATACATATATATGTGAATGCGAAAAAAATTAAAACCGTAATCACAAGAACTTTCAAATAATTAGTCTAAATATATAAATTCAAAAATTATATTCGTATTCCAAGTTTAAATTAAAATTTTCCACAATGCGACTAATCGTAATGATAAAAATTGCAATACGTAACAGTTTACATTAAATTAATTTAAATTAACATTTGATACAATACAATTTTTTTAATAATTTTGTAAAAAGTTCAATCTTTTAAAGCTATACATTTGATCTAAAAACGGATTTTAAAGCATTCGTATTTTTTGAAGTTTGTATTCTTCAACATCTCAGGAGATTTCAAGTAATTTCAAATAACTCACAATTCCTCGTGATTGAATGGATCGAAAATTCGAGAGAGAGACAGAGAGAAAAAGAAAGAGCGAGAGCAAAAGATCGAAGTCGTCAGTATGCGCATCCGTAAAAGCGGCAAACGTGATTCGTCATTAACGATCGAGTCCACGCGTCCACGCCATCTTCCGTTTTAACACGATGACCCGCGCATCGATCGCAAGGGCGATAGCTGGCCAATGGCACACAGTTACTCGCAGTGGCGCGCCATTGGTCGGGATCCGCGGCATGCCGCCGTCGACCGATACGCGACGGCGCACGCCATTGGTCGGAAGTCTGCGGCGCGCCGCCACCGGTAGGCGCGCGCGAAAAAGTTGGCTGCGCGACGCCGCCGCCACCTGCAGCGCTCGGGCGCCTCCGTCGACGTTCGGCCGCCTCCGGCCGACGATTGCCGACCGCATATTACTATTTTCAGGCACGCAGGGGCACCTCTTGACGGATTTTCAATAAGTGACGAGGGCGGCGGTGTGCGGCGCGATAGCCTCGAGAGATCCGACTCCACTTTTTTTTCTGCGCGTGTGATTCGCCTCGCGAATCGTCGCGAACGGACGTGAGCCTCCCCCCCTGACATAGGAGCGGCACGGTTCACGCGCGGTGGTGGCGGCGGACGAGCGGAGATTCGGACAGGGCGGAGTGGAGTGGTGAGTGCGCGCGCGAGACAACGAGTGGACTAGTGGAGAGCAGCGGTGACAAAAGTGAAGCCGAAGGCAAGAGACTCTGGTGAGAGGAGAACACACACGCCAGCCGAGTAGCCAGCTAGGACAAGCAACAGCGAACCACGCAAGAGGCGATGTTGGGCCACATTCCGGCGACTCTCGACGCCTGACGTACGGTCGCGTTTGTTCCGCCGGAAAATGAGAGATAGACCTCCACGTCGCAGCGAGCAGCTGATGGCGGCCGTGCCCAGTAGTGCTATCGAGTGCTGCTCCTAACATACACGTCTACCCCAAAACGTCGTTGTTCACCGCATATCGGCGTACGGGCGTGCGAGCAGCGAGTAGAAGGAGGTGGTGGAGGCGGAGGAAGAGAGCGGAGTACCAAGTTGGTGGCGTTCGTCTTCGGCGGTCGCCGCCGTGAAAAGGGAGTCCAGCGGCAGCAGCGTCGACGGCGACTCTCCGCTTAGCGGATCGCGCCCGTCCTACCCCAAGCGATTGTATATACCGTATGCGTATGCGCGCGGCCACATTACCCGCGGCCATACTTCCTACGCGAACGTGCGCCGCCGGATCAACTTTACGCGCAAGTCGTTCTATTTCGTAACGGTGCTTCTCTATCCCTCTTCGGCCACCGGCGAGGTTCGCGGCACGGTGCTTGACTCGGCGCGCGCGGGCAGCACGGTGTCTGTCTGCCAGTGCCTGCGTGCGTGCGTACGTGCGTGCGAGCGTACGTGCGTGCGTGCGCGCGTGTGTGCAACGAGTGAGTGAGTGAACGAGCAAATCGCGACATCGTCCGGAGAGGCGTCCTCGACTCCGAGCGATCAACCGACGAAATCAGCATCAGCGACGGCGACTGTCCGCCTTCAACCGGCGCCGTCATCGTTGTCGTCGTCATCGTCGTGGTTGTCGTCGTTGCCGTCGTCGTCGTCGTCGTCGTTGTCGTCGTCGTCGTGTCGTCGTCGTCGTTGTCGTCGTCGTTGTCGTCGTTGTCGTCGTCGTCGACGATCGAATCTACACTGCATTGCAAACAAGTCGAGGTGGGAATTGGGAAGGTAACTGCCGGAAGAGAGTCGCCGGTCGGGCGTTTTACAACGTCGTACCGCCGCGTTTCACATACCTCTCGCACGGTGTAGGTGGGAGCACCTACGTTTCGCGGAAGGAAGAAAGAACGGACGGACGGATGGACACAGCACACGGGCGTGCGTCCGCATGTGACAACGCCTAGCCGTCTAAAGATCATCGCGCCCCGTCTTCCCGGTGACGGTGACGGAGACAATCTGAAAGCCGGTTGAGACTCGACAGTGCGAGTGCCGCGCGGGCGGAAACGAAACCGAAGGTCTCGAAGGGGCGACGGGCGGGGAGCGCAGTGAAAGAGTCTCTCTCTCGATCTGATCTCTGCGTCAACCGGAGGAAACGAGTAGCTACCCCCCGTGTATTTGTGCTATGCGCGACGAACGTCCTCCTCTACATCGAGCGCACCTCATCGTCATCCTCCACCTCCGCTACCTCCTCTCGCTGCTCGGCGCGCAACGTTAACGCGTGTGTGTGTCCGTGAGTGTCGCGGGGATCGGGGAAACAAGCAGAAGAAAAAAAGAGGAGAGAGAATTAATGCGATCGGGTATAAAGCCGCGTCACGTGCATCCGTAGTAGCCTGTAGCAGTGTGTGCCTTTCTTTCCTTCCCCTCGTGTGAGTTTAGAGTGTGTGTTATTCGTCGCAGTCGTGGCCACGGAATGCGGCCTCCTCGGGGCGGAGGTGATCTTGGTCTCTAGTCGCGTGACGAGCCCCCCCGCTGTCCGCGCGCAAAGGTGGACACCCGGAGGAAACTAGCGCGAGGTGCGAGCGCTCCTGTTTGAACATTACCAGGACAGTCCCACAGTGCCTCCGTTAAATGCCAAAATGTCGTCGAATGCCTTTGTGGACAGGATAGATCCCTTCGCCAAGCGATCCCTCAAAAAGAAGTCCAAGAAGTCACAGGGCTCCTCCCGCTATCGCAACTCGCAGGATGTCGAACTCCAGCAGTTGCCCCTGCTCAAAGGTTAGTTCGACGTATAGAGAGATCTTTCCCCGCTTTTATTTCAAATGTTCTGGGTCTGTCTTAACGACGGAGAGGAGCGATTTTGATTACTTATTAGATTACTACTATAATCTCATATTAGATTTACTTTTTATTATTGATTTTTTGTAAATACTATTAGTCGCGCTCTAAGCTAGGTCAAACTACAATGTATTTTTAACGTGAAACGAGATGAGAAAGATTTCTTCAAGGAAATTCAAGCGGAATATCGAAAATAAAAGCTATCGGAATCTCGTAGGGAATTATGCAAGATTTTTTGAGAACTCATCCACTTGTAGTTTTTTATTGCGAGTATATCGGCTCGTTTATTCGATACCTTGACTCATCGTACTTTTATCTTTAGCAGCGATAAATCATGTGAAAAATTGATCTTGGTCATCGTAAAGTTACGCTGCTGAGGAAAGCAGTGTAGAGAATGTTTGAAGTTTGTTCAACTCTCTATGCAATTCTCTATATCTAGCGACTTTCTCACGAATAAAGCGGCATGGTTTAATCATAATATCCTTGGAGTCATTGAATAATTGGCAACAAGTCTGTCATCCCGAACTTAAGCAGTTGCATCATGTGTATGGTATTACGTTCATCGGTAAACATATCACTCGGTTTTTTTCGTTACGTTACGTCGCTACTGAGAAGCGCCGCGTTGCACTAACGAATGTTTCAGGGGCGGACGATTTCACGTCCTTTCGCAGCCTCCACGAGGGTATCGTCGTTAATAGCACCTATATATTATCTCGTATATTTACTGACAACACTATTAACACATTAAGTATGGTTGGTAGATCGCAAAAAATTGTTTATTACGACGTTATACTACGCTCACACACTTAGTGTGCATTAATCTGTCGGGAGATAAACGTGAAGATGACCTTACAATTCGGTGCGGTGTATTTTAATCCAGCAGTCACCGCCGGATTATCGGGAGGTAACAGCTGGATTAAAATGCAAATCGACATCCTTCGAAAAGCCGCGCTTCGACTCCTCAAGACGTGATTGTTGCATACGCGAGGCACACGTGTACACGTCTCCCGGGACTCGCGTGCGTGCTAATTCGAGCGTCAAAGATTGGGTGACCAGTGCGGGCTGACGTTTTAACGACGCCGTAGAAAGCATCGACGAGTTTCGATAATGGTTAATAATCTTTCATTTGTCACCGTGTCCTGACACTCTAGTTTGGATGCAATCTTGTGGAGTTTTCTGCAGAGTCCTTTCAGTCTCTGCAACGCGCTCGATTGCACCTCCGATGGCTTATTTGAGGTCGAACATACCGATAAAAGAGATACTAAAGGTCTCGGTGAAGCCGACGTAAACTTCAACGTAATTCCAACCTCTGTCGACGTAGATGAAACCATCACTGTTCACGAGAAAATTGTTAGCCGACCATCCTTTGCTCTCGACGTGGAAACTTCCGCAAGTTCCGGAGGGATCTCTCAGATGCGATCTGCACCCCAACTGCCCGCTACAGGGCATCGCGTCAGTCTGAGTAGTGACGAACACGTAGGATGCCGACAAGCGCAGTTTCATCAGGAATGCCGCGAACCGCGTGGCGCCTCTTGCGCCTCTTAAATGATACAACTCATTTTTCACGGCACCTGCAAATCATACGCACTTCAGGTTCGCGATCAAGTGTGAAATAAATCATGTTATTTGTATTAGACTACACATCGATAATTGCAAACAGGATTGAGAACAAATTCCACATTTTTGGATGAATTCCATGCCAATGATAAAAATTAGTATTTTCCGAAAAAAAAACCGGCAAAAATTAATCTTTTCTATTAAAAACGATAAAATAAATAGAAAAATTTTTTTATCGATAGTCTAATTTATAAACAGCACAGCTTTATGTTGATAAAAATTTTTTATCTTGTTACTATTGCATTTTTCTTATTAAATTAAAAATTAATATAAAATTTAATAACATTTATATTATCAAAGTTTTTATTTTAAAAATGTATTTTGTATGTTAATTTGAATTAAAAAGGCTTTATTATTATAAGATTTCATTACTATTGATTCATTATTGGTTGATTTTTTTTTCTTTTATCGTAGTGATTAGTAGATATAATTTACTAATTAAAGCAAAAATTTGCGTGAGGCTGTGTGTGTAAATATATTTTAGTGTGACATATTAGTCATTCTGTATAATTTTTGCTAGTTTATTCCATTGGATAAGTTTGAGCAGAAAGGATCCTCTCTGGTTCGAGACAGAAAGAACCGGAATTTACCATAGTTTTTTCCATTAAACTTTTCCGGCTAACTTTGATGGTAAACTGAAGATTAGAATTCGATCAAATCAATTTAATTTCGTTTCAGTCTGATTCATTCTGATTGGTTGAACTCTAATCTTCGATTTGTAATCCTCAATCTTTAATACGTATAATCGATACAAGTTTGAAATAAGTTTAACGCTCAACACATCAATAATCTTGCCAAGCGCGTAAAACGCGGTCGGTAAATCGTAGCGCGATTGAACGAAGAGCGAAGAGACAAAGAGAAGGAAATAGCAAAAAAAAAACAAGAAAAAGAAAAAATGCTTTATAAATTTCGGAGTCGTAATGGTGAGGAATAGTGTGAATATCGCCACATGACCACGGTTTATTCCACCAGATATGATGCTTTGTGACGACCATCTGCCGAATGGTGAAACACTTGTTACACACGACTGTAAAAGTTTGTTTACAGAACGTAGCCAGCGGGCACCGATATCGCCTGCCTGGCTTTCGCTGCTCTCGCGAAACAACGAGACACACCAACCGCGGTACATTGTGGCACACGGATACGCCTCCGGCGTGGAGAACCCACGCGCGAACCGCAGCTAATTGTTACAAGAATCCGTGTCCCGATTTGCGGTCTATTGATCGATACATGATAATGCATGCAATCAGTTTTTCACTTTGAATTGACCCAGAAGGATATCCCGCGATATTTTCACCCATGGTACCGCTCGCTGAGTTTCATCGTATATTCGCTTTCTGGACACGCGCATACCCAACATACTGTCGTCCGAAAGAAGCGATCGGGGTTATCGATGTGCGACTGTGTATATAATTCGTTTTATGATCGAATTCGCCACTCGAGTGAATGTAACGGCTGGAAAACGTAACGAACAACGTGCAACGGACAACTTGCTTGATAAGAAAATAAGAGAAAAACGAACGAGCTTCCGAGACTTCGATGATAATTGCGAGAAGGAAAATGAAGAAATATATGTTACCCTGCTGTCATTTCCGTATTTGGCCGAAATATCCCTATAGGATGATAAGTGACAGCTGGTGAATAATGTTGAATCGTAATTGTTGCAATTAGAATTAATATTCTGGCACGAAAAGACCTTTTAACATTGTTATCGCTATCAAGAGTATCCAGAATGCAAGTGCCAACAATGAATACAACGCACAGGATCAAACTTTCATTTCGGCTTTATCTCTGGAAAAAGATGGTCATATTAAAGTGTATATATAAAATACGTATATCGTTTACGATGATCGTTAAAAGTAATCTTGATTGAGCACGATTCATCCACGAACAGTATTCTATAACGCTTTATTCTGTAATCGCGCAAATTATTTGTCTGTCCTGGCGTTTCGCTCATATTCTTGCCTGCCGCCGAGTCGAGCTCGTTTGCCCCGTGGAATTATGTACAGTTGACGATAAGTACAATTGAGACCGTGGCGCGTAAACATGACAAAGAAAAGAAAAGATGCGTTATCGGCTTTTACTCTTCTATTACGTAATCGACAAGGAGGGGGGGGGCGGAGGGGGGTCAGGACCGTCGTCGATTATGCCACTATTCGTCGCCACTCCGCCGAGGGTTTTCCGAGACGGAAATGCCTTCGTAAGCGCGATCGTGACTCAAAGCGCGTACTTGCTTTTGTGTTGAATCGACCGCGACTCAGACTACACGTTTCCGCCGTCGCGTCGTAGGATCTATTTTTGGAGAGATACAAAGACAAGAACAGCAATGTGATGTCCGTCGCGATAGATGGGAAAGGGGGAGGAGACCATGATCGTCACGCGATATGAATCCCAAAGATTCTGGATTCGCAGCCGCGATCGAACGATGCGACGTTCCCAGTGTGCGTGAAATAGTAGTAACTTTACCACGTGTAGTATTCTCACACACACACGCACGCACGCACGCAC